AGTAAGTGGAACACAAAATGATTAGCTATAGTTTATCACTGTTAGCTTGCCAGCTAAAATGCTTTAGCTGCTTTTACAACAGTTTATGACGCTACAGCAGAATGCATTTAATGTATGGATGGTTAACACTGTGGGCACTGGCCACTATAGTTATCAAATGACAGCTTCAGCTAGGTAGTTAGCTTTAGCTTGGAAAAGGGAAATAGTTGAATCATTGTCAAAACAAACAAAGAGTTGTACAAAATTAAATTTGCAAGTAAAAGATAAATGGAAAAGTAAATATTTTATCTATTAACTAGTTGGTGTTAAAGGAAAACAAAAATATATTTTAATATTAAGGTGTGCTAGAAACCATAAAAATATACACAGTAGGTCTATAGCTCAGCATTTGGTTCACTTCTGTGAATAAAAGTAAATGCAAAGTAAAAATTAATTTTGTCAAAAAACAAGCCTGTGAGGTATGATTGTTAAAAATGATTACCTTTTTTTTTTTTTTTTAAACTTAATACAGACACCGAATTATATAAAAGGTTCCCTAAACAGGAAATAATCTGCTCAACTCAGGGCTCGTCAGTTTACTGAACAATAGAACAGAGGTCCCTTAAGGTTAGGAAACTAATGGTTTAAGGCAAAGTAAAGAGCTTAATATTTAATTTTACACTACACTAAGGCAGTGATACTTGTGTGTAAAGGTCCACTGTGGAAGTTTCCTCTTGAGGAACCAGAGGTTCTTTAATGTTGCCTGCAGGAGTATTATACAGAGAGAGAGAGAGAGAGCTAAATATACGCTCTTTAATGTCAGGTCTGAGTCTGTCAAGAAGGGTTTAGGTGGATGCCACGTACATCTGCAGCTACAGCTACTGTGTACAGGATGTGTGTGGTATCCTGGCTTTAGTTTTTGTGTTGTTATATTGTAATGTTTAAGATCTGGTCTTTAAAGGTTCCCTATAGTCTATTAAAAAAGTGTTATCATCTGTTTTATCATTTTCTTTTCAAGTGAAAAACAACCAGATGCAAAAGATTAGAGTTTGTGCAAACAAGTTAACAAGATCAACAGTTGTTAGTCATTCTTTCTCTACTTTCCATCGCATTAATCTGTTAACTGACAATTATGCTGTTTATATTTTGCTTTATGCAGTGCAGAGTGAGATCTTTTCAGGGATTAAGTCCTGCTTAACACTAGACAGACATATTGTTTGGTCACGCTGTAATAGTGTTTGCAGAATAAACTCAACATGTAAAAGTTTCATTAGAGGAAACACTGTCTTTTCTTGGTGTATTTTATTGGGTTTTCCCATTTTATTTGATGCTATACTGGCTCCACGAAGCTACTATTTTAATCACTGATGGCTTTCTAGTTGGGCTTTGTTCCACTTCCTGACAAGTTTTAGCAAAGCTTGTAAAAATGTGTTTCATAGAGCTTGAGAAGATCCGAGGACAGAGGGAGAGACGGAACAGTGAGGGCAAAAAAGAGAGGGAAGCAGAGATCTCATTTGACACATTTTAGGTGCTGAGCCTAAGCAGCTACAGTCTGTTTGCCTATATTAAAAGTGCATGGATCCATGGATTCCAGTTTATTACTGTAAGTGACCTGCATTAGGTCAACTAATTAATGTCATAATAGAATAATTAGGTCAAGTTCACACTGCAGTTTAATTCTGGTTTAGTAAAATACTGCAGCACCATTGTTCCATCTCACCGAAAAATATGCAAATGTTTTAAACCTTCAGTAGGTTGATTAAAGGGCGTTAACACTGAATAATTGAATGAATAATTATAATAAAAATGTTCACAAATTTGGTAATAATGTAAATTTTAACACAAGTATTTATGTGTTTTATCACAGTATAGTCATATAATTCACTTTACAGTTAAAAAAAACAATTTTAGGGTGCAGTACTAAATATTAAACAAGAGTGTACAGCCATGCAAGCAGCTCTGTGAGCGCTGTGAGTTAAATATTAACATCACACTGCTAGCATACTCAGAATGCTAACATATTGATGTTTAGCAGGTATATTGTTTACCATATTTACCATCTTACTTTAGTGTTTAGTCAAATTTTTGATCATAAATTAAAGTACTGGACAAACTGAATCCTGATGAAAAGGTGAAAGATCATCAGAGTAATTACAATTCAACCTGATGGGGACTTGAACATTACACTCCATGTCATAGTTATTGAGATAGTTCAAGTAATACCACAAATGTGAACCTTCTGGTGGCACTAGAAAGGAAATAACAGGGGATGCCCAAAGTCCATCCTCTAGTTATTGAGATATTTCAGTCTGGACCAAAGTAATGGAATAATTTATAGTGTAGTGCAGCTAGCATGGCTACAATGGTTCTGAAAAGGCCATTTGCCACTGAAAAACACATTTTAAACATGGTCTTTAAAGTGATTATTTTATTATTATACTCTTTACTTGACTTTGTAGTTATAGTGTTTCCATACTTTGTTTTCATCACTGTTGTTTTGATTCATTTCATATTTCACTATTCTAGCTTATATCGTTTTATCTGTTTTCATCTGCTCAGGTTTGTGTTTGGCACTTTGGACTGGGTTTTAAAAAGTCATCTGTAAGTTAAGTTTTATTGATTTCTTTAAAGATAAGAGGTGTGCATTTTGACAGTATGCTTATTGAGGTCTACCTATAGCATTTGCAGAGTAGACACACTTTTTATCTGTGCTGGATTATGACTGATAACAAAGTACATATTGTCCTCTGTTTAACTCGTCTGAGTGAATCAACTGACTGTATGGAATAATGTTGAAGTTGTGGATATATTAATGTGTGTGCAGTACCCATGGTTAACCACTAGATGGGGCTATTATTTAGTTATTGGTTGGAATTGTCATTAGTTGTGCAATGAGGAAAATCCTTATTGTTTTGGCTTTTGTCTGTACTCTATTAGTCAGCAGAGGGCAGCATCTTCCTCTTCAGCCACGGCTCCTTCATGCTCTCAGTAACCTGCTGAACATGTGGGTTGAATGAATATTGTTAGTCAGAATGTATTGCATGTAAAGCATTATTGATTCTAAACGACTTTACTTACTTATGCCGTATTGCCAGGGTGAACATGTTTTAGACTCAAAACACAGAATATATTTAAAGTGTGGTCAAGAAGCATGAAGGGACTTTTTGGCTTATTGGAAAGTTTTTTTCACAGAGGTAAATTTACCTTTGTGTGATCTGCTTCCCCTCTCTGGGGTCTATTTTTATCATTGTAAGTGCTGAAGAAAATGTAGTGGGGAAACACCTTGAACAAGAACTCTGAGCAAGAACATGAAATGTTGGATCGAATCCCAGCTGGGCAAAAGGAAAGCTAACATTAACTAACAACTGAAATCACTGGAAAAACACAAACAAGGTTTATTTATGCTTTGTTTATTTATGGATTGATGCTCAAAATTAGTTGAATATAATATTCATAGGTGTGTTTTCATTAGTGTATAATCACTTGAAAATAAGAATCGTGTTTTTTTTACCTTAGAATGAGCCGTTACTCTACAGCAGTGGTCTCCAACCTTTTTAAGCCCAAGATCCCTGACCTCCACCTTGGTGAGAGGCAAGATCTACC